GTGCACTTCCTAATGTTGAAATCGCTTTATGCATATTCCTCATTGTAATGATTGCAAGCTACACGACAGAAAGTTCATTTTTGCCCCCAAAGACACACAAAGACCCTCATCGTACAGTGTGGATTCAAGAAAGACTGGCTTCACTATACTGACTATGTAAGGAAATTGTTTTTTCAGCAGTCTAATTGTGATTAAATTATTTAAGAATTTAAAAAAGCAAAGAATAGAAAAATTCTTGATTATAGCATGTTAGAGATGAAAGGCTTATTTGAAAATAAATTAGAATTTGCTGGAGTTGTTTTCTGATTGATAATTTTTCTTTTATATCATCTTCTCATTTGTTCATTTATAATTATAATATTATGAAACAAGCATCAAAATTGAAGGATGACTTATTTAAAGCAAAATTGGTAAGAGTAATATTTTGTTCTGAGAGATCAACAGAATTTTAAATTGACTGTTGAAACAACAAAGTTCACTGACTCATTTTCTCTGTTACAGAATAGGTGAAACCCTCCCCCCCACACACACACACTGGGGCGAAGGGAGCCCAGCAGAGCAGCAAGGGGAGCAAAGCAATGAAGTCCATGGGGAATCCTGAAAATAGACTTCAGACTCGGCGGGCAGGGCTTGGCACCTCATCAGACTCAATCAGAAAACACACATAAGGGTCAGCAGACAGACCTGGAACTATTTATAGCCCTTTTATCTTTGTCAGAGGAAACCAGCCTCTAACAACCGAAGGGTCAGTAGGTGCAAACGTACAGCGATAATGTATACATGTAACAGTAAAGTCATAGAAGATAAGACAGATAGGAGAGAGAGTAAAATCATGGAGTCAGACACATTTTATGGTAGCATGCTCCCCTCAGCTCCTCGCCATGGGTCCCAAGGAACTAGGAGACTATCTTGTGTATTTATAGGTAGCCTTAAGACACGCATATTCAGCAGGTACATTGTCACAAGGTAGGTGGTATCTACATTAAGGTCCCTGACCTCACAGGTGAGGAAACCTAATACCTGCATTGAGGGAAGGCAGGAGGGAGGTTGGGTGACAGGACAGGAAGAGAGAAAAGGATGTCTGAAAAGCAATCAGCCATGTGCTTGCAAGAGGTAACGTGAAGGTAGCACTATTACGGGAGGGTATAGTGGGGAACAATATTAATTATGAGAATGTAATTGGCACTCACCTCCAACGCACAAGGGTGAAGGCCTCCCTCCACTCCAGAAACCCCTCCTGCCAGGCTTCTTAATATATGAGAATAAAGGATTCATCCGTATACACTCTCTTCCCATGTTCTGCTCCCCACATTTCTTTTTTTTCCATGTCTATCTATATAAAAGAGGCAAGATAAACAATCCTGAGGAGAAAATAATGGGGCCAAAGGTTCTGGGGGAACAAGGGAGAGGGAGAGGTGGGAAAAAGGGATGGGGGAGCCAACAAATCCAGGGACAAGGGAACAAGAAGAGAGCTAAAAGGGATGGTGAGGAGGGCATATGTATTATGCTTGCTGGGGTTCAATCAAGGGCAATGTAGCAAAGAGGAATTACTGAAAGCCGAATGAAGGTCGAACATGATAGTGGGACAGGAGGAAAATACAAGAAAGTAGAGGCAAGAACTAGGAGGCAAAAATTTATAGAGGTATAAATATAGGCATGCATCTATGTAAATATATTCATATATAATGATAGGGATATAGGCCTATGTACACATTTTTATATGTTAAGTAGTAAAGGAGACAGACATTGGGCCTCTACTCAAGTACTCCCTCAATGAAAGAATAATTTGTTCTAGTAACCTGGCATTCTGTGACGCTCACCTTCCCAACACAATCACTGAGGACAAAATGGGTGCATAAGCAAATGTGGTGAAGAAATATGATGGTGCCCAGCTATCAAAAGATATAGCGTCTGGGTCTTAAAGGCTTGAAGTTAAACAAGCAGCCATCTAGTAGGGAAGCAACAAAGCCCACATGGAAGAAGCACACCAGCCAGTGTGATCACAAGGTGTTGACAGGATCAGGTATCAGGCATCAGAAGACCCAAAGCAATCATACTGATGCAAATGAGTGGGGTCAGTTGGAGTGGAAACCCAAAGCCCATCTGTAGACGATTGGACATCCCCTCACAGAAGGGTCACAAGGAAGGAACAAGTCAGCTAGGTACAGTATAGCACCAACGAAACACACAACATTCCTCTAGTTCTTAATTCTTCCTCTCCCCTACTATCATGACCCCAGTTCTACCTTACAAACCCAGCTAGACTGGAGCACGTATACTGGTACAGATCATTGCTCTCGACACACAGAATCCAGGACAGATAACCGCCCCCCAGGAACAGTAATGGGAGTAGCGATATCATGAGTAGGGGGCAGGTGAGGGGAGAAGGGGGAGAAAGGGGAAACCAATTGCAAAGATCAAGACATATAATGACACCCCCCCCAGGGGGACAAACAACAAGAAACATGGGTGGAGACAGCAGATGGTATAAAATATGAAAGCGATAATCATTTATAATTTATCAGGGGTTCATGAGGATGGGTGGGGAGTGATGAGTTGAAACCAAGGGCTCAAGTAGAGAGAAAGGGTTTTGAAATGATGGCGAATATGTACAAATGTGCTTGATATAGTTGACGTATGGATTGTTATAAGAGCTGTAAGAGCTCCAATAAAATGATTTACTATATATATAAAATAGAGCTTCAAAAAGTTAATGGAAATGGAAATAAAAGGAAATGGAAAATTTTCACAAACTTTTTGAAACTCCCCTTATAAAATATGTGAAAATTAATTATGTTATTGAAGAATATTAGAGAATTAAATGTATTCATTTCCTGAGTTATAAGTTATATAATTAAATTTGTTTCCATTTGGGACAACAACAAAAAAGAAGATGTGAAATCTCTTTGTTGTAGACTATGTAGAGCAGGGCTTCATGCTTGGTAAAGCAGAGGGGCAGCCGAAAAGAGGGCAGACACAACGATACAAGCATGGCTTACACAGAAGAACAGCAGCGGTGTGTGCTGTTGTGCACAACGACACCCAACAACAACAACAATGTGGAATTTTAGGAAGGAGAAATGGAAACAAGGGAGCAGTGGATATGAAAGGAAATACTGGAGGGTCTGCAATGGGTGAATTGAATCAGAAGGTGTGTGGATTGCTGCATGTAAATACATGATCTGCTCTGAAGACCTTCACCTAATTCACCATAAAAAGTTCAAAAAATAAGAAGGGTGGGAAGGGAGTGGGGGAAATGAGCTGATACCAAGGGCTCAAGTAGAAAGAAAATGTTTTGAGAATGATGATGGCAACAGATGTACAAATGTGCTTGACACAATGGATGGATGTATGGATTGTGATAAGAGTCGTACAACCCCCTAATAAAATGATTTTTTTAAAGTTCAAAATATATGTGTAATTATTTAGGTATATGTATTAGTCTAGGTACTTTGGAGAAACAAATCCACAGCAACTCACGTATAAGAGAGAGTTTTATGCAAAGAAAATGTGCATCACGAAAACATCCCAACCCAATGCTGCCCAAGCCCACAAGTCCAACATTAACCCATA